ATGAGAAATAACAAAAGTTTGTCTTGCTTTTCCCGGTCAATTAAATAAAACTTTGTACTGAATGCGTAATTAGGACGTGCATAATATATGCACCAGCCACTCAAATTCTAATAACAATAGATTACTTCAATATTTTGCGCGTAGGCGGAGGTATGCAGTCTGAGTGCCCTCTAGTTTTTTCTGTGTTGGTGTAATGTACTCAGGTGAATATGATGCTTGTGATGTTATTCTGAGTGTATGTCCACACCGGGCAAGCTTTCCCACCCAAAAATAAGCAAATCCCAGTTCCCATGTTACCCCTTCAGGACCCTCTTTCAAGTCCTCTCATTTTGACTTAGTCCTCGGCTTCGCCTCAGGCTTGATCAAATTGCGCGGACTTGAAATCTAGTCCAGTTCTCACAGTCGGATTTGAAATATTACATCGCGTACATTGAAATATTACATACGTTACATCGAGTATCTTGAGAAAACCTCCAGTGTTTGGTAGAGTCAAACTGGAAGCACTCTTCTCACATGTGACTGAGGTGAAATTATAATCAGACAACTGTATATTGCAGGAATCAAACCCTGCATGGTCTCGGAAGTGAAAGACACCAACAGGAAACACTTCTTCTCGTCTGTCACAAAGAGATTCCTACAGCTATATATGAAGTTGTTTATAGGTTATAATTTCACCTCAGTCACATGTGAGAAGAATGCTTCTAGTTTGATTTTGATAAACACTGCAGGTTTTAACCAAGTAATTTTCTCCTGTTTTTAATACTGAAAAAAGATGGGCCTTCCTGGATCTCTAGGAAGAACGGTTTAGACCTCATAAAGAACTCAGTCCAGAAAAAAATACTTGAAGTTGGTTTACAGTAAAGTTTGAATGATCATTGAGATTCTACTAAAATACCGCAGTGGTTCGACACGTGATGCTAACAGTACAAGAGTATTTTTGTCTGCTTCAATTAGTCATTTAATCACCCCCTATTGTTTAATGGTATATTTGTACTCTCTGTCGGAACACAATCAAACAAATTATTGTTGTCACTCGTATTTAAGTTGACGCCAGAAATCTCAGAAGAATATTTGGTAACATAATATATTTTACAGATGTCTTGTTTTCGAAAACAGTTGGAAGAAAGTATTGTTTATATAGTTGTCTCAAAGACAAAGAGTTGAAAAACAAATTATGAACACCAAAGTTTATAACAGTGAAGTTTCGAAAAAATTCTCAGTAAGACCAGGATAAACATTTTATCATTGTGAACCAGGAACGCATGGGAAAAACTAGTTTTAATAAGGGAAAGTACATTTATTATGCCGAGGGGGGGGATGAAGATGTTAAGGGGGGGCTCCGAAATATTTTCTGGCATTAAAGGGGGGGCTCTGAAAGTTCTTGATATACTGAAGGGGGGGGCTCTAAACTTTTCAAAGGTTTGACCCAGCAAATTAAAGTTAAAATTTTTACATCAGTTTCAGGTAAAATTTGCGTAATAAAGTAATTATTTTTGTGAAATGATAACCATTTTTGTAAAATACAGTCAATTTACATGCAATTTGTTTGCGAAATTTGCTTTAGAAAACGCCAGAAATTCAGTCCTAGAGCTTCGAAAATGTAAAAATTTTCTGGGGGTGGACCCCCAGACAGACCCCCCTTTTCTCCCAAAACTTAGTATAAGAGTGCCAATCAATCACAAAAAGCTTTATTATAATTATTACACGTATAATCCTCTGACATCCCACCCACC